ATTTTAAAAAACAGAGGTGCTGAGATCAGTGTATAGCCTCCCAAGGAGAATACATCCAGGGAGACAACTTCAACTAAGTGATTAAATAATTATTATTATTATTATTATTTTTTTTTTTTTTTTTTTTTTTTCAAAAAGTCGGCCATCTCCCACCGAGGCAGGGTGACCAAAAAGAAGAAAATCCCCAAAAAAGAAAATACTTTCTTCATCATTCAACACTTTCACCACACTCACACATTATCACTGCTTTTGCAGAGGTGCCCAGAATACAAAAGCTTAGAAGCATATACGTATAAAGTTTACACAACATATCCCTCCAAACTGCCAATATCCCAAACCACTCCTTTTTAAAGTGCAGGCATTGTACTTCCCATTTCCAGGACTCAAGTCCGACTATATGAAAATAACCGGTTTCCCTGAATCCCTTCAACTAAATTTTACCTGCTCACACTCCAACAGATCGTCAGGTCCCAAGTACCATTCGTCTCCATTCACTCCTATCTAACACGCTCACGCACGCTTGCTGGAAGCCCAAAGCCCCTTACCCAAAAAACCTCCTTTCCCCCCTCTCTCCAACCCTTTCGAGGACGCCCCCTCCCCCTCCTTCCTTCCCCTATAGATTTATTTGCTTTCCATGTATTCTACTTTGATCCTTTTCTCTCTAAATGCCCAAACCACCTCAACAACCCTCTTCTGCCCTCTGATAATACTTTTATTAATCCACACCTTTCCTAATTTCACACTCCGAATTTTCTGCATAATATTTTACACCACACATTGCCCTTAAACAGGACATCTCCACTGCCCCCAACCGTCTCCTCGCTGCTGCATTTACCACCCAAGCTTCACACCCATATAAGAGTGTTGGTATACTATACTTTCATACATTCCCTTCTTTGCCCCCATAGATAACGTTTTTTGACTCCACATATACCTCAACGCAACCACTCACCTTTTTTCCTCGTCAATTCTATGATTAACCTCATCCTTCATAAATCCATCCGCCGACAAGTCAACTCCCAAGTATCTGAAAACATTCACTTCTTCCATACTCCTCCCCCCCAATTTGATATCCAATTTTTCTTTATCTAAATCATTTGACACCTCATCACCTTACTTTTTTCTATGTTCACTTTCAACTTTCTACCTTTCACACATTCCCAAATTTCATCCACTACCTTTGAAATTTTTTCTTTAGAATCTCCATAAGACAGTATCATCAGCAAAAAGTAACTGTGTCAATTCCCATTTGAATTTGATTCCCCAAAATTTAATCCCACCCCTCTCCCAAACCCTAGCATTTATTTCCCTTTTAAACAACCCTTTCTATAAATATATTAAACAACCATGGTGACATTACACATCCCTGTCTAAGACCTACTTTTACGGGAATTTAGTCCCCCTCTCTTCTACACACCCTAACTGAGCCTCACTATCCTCATAAAAACTCTTTACAGCATTTAATAACTTAAACCACCTATTCCATTACTTGCAACTTCTGCCACATTGCCCCCTCTATCCACTATATTCATATCCCTTTTCTAATCCATAAAATGCAATAAAAACTTCCTATCTTTATCTAAATACTGTTCACATATATGCTTCAATGTAAAACCTGATCTACACATCCCCTACCCACTCTAAAACCTCCTTGCTCATCCGCAATCCTACATTCTGTCTTTACCTTTTAATTCTTTCTTTTATAACCCTACCGACACTTTTCCGGGTTTATACTCAGTAAGCTTATTCCTCTATAATTTTTACAGTCTCTTTTGTCCCCTTTCCCTTTATATAAAGGGACTATACATGCTCTCTGCCAATCCCTAGGTCCCTTCCCCTCTTTCATACATTTATAAACAAAAGTCCCAACCCTCCAAACTATTCCCCCCCTGCTTTTAACATTTCTGTCATGATCCCATCAGTTCCAGCGGGCTTTACCCCTTTCATTTTACGTAATGCCTCACGTACCTCCCCCACTTACATTCTGCTCTTCTTCACTCCTAAAAGATGGGATACCTCCCTGACCAGTGCATGAAATTACTGCCTCTGTTTCTTCCTTAACATTTAAAAGTTCCTCAAAATATTCTCGCCATCTACCCAATACCCCCATCTCCCCATCTACTAACTTTCCCCTACTCTGTTTTTAACTGACAAATCCCTATTTTCCCCAGGCTTTCTTAACTTGTTTAACTCACTCCAAAAATTTTTTTTTATTTTCATTTAAAATTTCTTGACAGTGCCTCTCCCACTCTATCATCTGCTCTCCTTTTGCACTCTTCACCACTCTCTTTACCTTTCTTTACTCTCCATATACTCTGCTCTCTCTTATAACACTTCTGCTTTGTAAAAACCCCTTTATAAGCTACCTTTTTTCTCTTTTATCACACCCTTTACTTATCATTCCACAATCACTCTCTTTCCCCCTGCCCCCACCCCCCTATAACCCCAAACTTCTGCCCCCCATTCTAATTTCTGGGATTTTTAAAACTATTCCAACCCTCTTCAACCCCCCACTACTCATCTTTGCATAGGGCCCCCCTTTCTGCCAATAGCGTTATATCCACCCGAACTTCCTCCTCCCTTAGTTTATACACTTTCACCTCCCTCTTACTTGTTGTTGCCACCTTCCTCTTTTTTCCCCTCTACCTCTTACTCTAACTGTAGCACAACTAAATAATGATCCGATATATTCAGTTGCCCCTCTATAAACATGTACATCCTGGAGCCTACCCATCAACCTTTTATCCACCAATACATTATCTAATAAACTACTTTCATTACGGATACATCATACCTTGTATATTTATTTATCCTCTTTTTTTATAAAATATGTATTACTTATTACCAAATTTCCTTCTACACCCTGCTCAATTAAAGGCTCCCATTTACTTACCCTGGGCAACCCCCCAAATTTACCTACTACTCCCCCATAACATTTTTACCACTTTAGCATTGAAAAACCCCAACCACCTTACTCTCACACTTGATTCAAAACTTCCCACGCATTCACTCAACATTTCCCCAAAATCCCCTCTCTCTCCTCTACACTTCTCTCTCTTCCAGGTGCATACACGCTTATTATAACCCACTTTTCACATCCAATCTTTATTTTACTCCACATAATCCTTGAATTAATACATTTATAGTCCCTCTTTTCCTGCCATAGCTTATCCTTCAACATTATTGCTACTCCTTCTTTAGCTCTAACTCTATTTGAAACCCCTGACCTAATCCCATTTATTCCTCTCCACTGAAACTCTCCCACCCCCTTCAGCTTTGTTTCACTTAAAGCCAGGACATCCAGCTTCTTCTCATTCATAACATCCACAATCATCTCTTTCTTATCATCTGCACAACATCCACGCACATTCAGACTTCCCACTTTGACAATTATTATTATTATTATTATTATTATTATTAATTTATTAATATTAATATTATTATTAATATTATTATTAATATTGGCAGTTTGGAGGGATATGTTGTGTATCGTTATACTTATTTGCTTCTAAACTGTTGTATTCTGAGCACCTCTGCAAAAACAATGATTATATGTGAGGTGAAAGTGTTGAATGATGATGAAAATATTTTCTTTTGGGGGGATTTTCTTTCTTTTTGGGTCACCCTGCCTCAGTGGGAGATGGCCAACTTGTTAAAAAAAAAAAAAAAAAAATATTATAACCATAACTAAGCGCTAAACCCAAGTGATTAGAAGAGCCTATTTTTTTTGCGGTAGTCCAGGAACTTTTTGATGGCACCTTGTATACAAAGTATAAATGCATTTGGCAAAACACTAACCAAGAAAAAACATTATTTATAATTAATTTTTCAGAAAATTGTAAATGTCGTAGTTCATAAGTAATTACAGTAATTGATTTTAAAGTACCAACATCACAAACACAAAATAGTATATGTTGGGATGTCGTAAGTTAGAGCATTATTGTACAGGGGGTTAATGTGCAGGCAACTGCTAACTTGCAAGGAGAAAATAAGAGTACATATGAAAAATGTCCTATAAGGGAATACAGTATAGGAGAGTGCATGCTTAAAAGGAATTTTTGAAATAGGGGCAGCCTGAAGGTCTTCCCTATAAAAGACACTGAAGATGTAGACTGATAATTAGATTGACCATGAGGCATTTTTTTTCTTGCTGGAATTTTTTTTTGTAGGGTGCATATGGGCAAATGAGTGATGCAGCAAGAGTTCTAAGAACTCCAGGGCTTAACCCCTGTCATTAATTTCTCACCAGATTTGCATAATTCACATGAGATACCCCTTACATTCTAAATAAAAAAAAAAAAAAGGAAAAATTGCATCCCTAATTGATTATCATGAACCAATATGCTGTACACAGTGAGGGTTCACTCACATATTCACTTCTATATTTCTATTATCAAAATGTTTTCACACTTAACAGAACAGTGTGGTATGGTAAAGTGGTGTCTAATATAGAGCATATACAGATACTTACATTGCAGTTCCCTTTGAAACTATGGAAGTACCATGATTACCAATTATTGTCAAAGCCTCATTTCAAAATTTGTAGTTTCACAAATTGTATTTTATTACAAATAGTCAGGTATCATTTTTTAAAATACAGTATTACAAAGAAATTTTTTTGAGAAATATCATTATCTTAAAGAACGAAGTGACAGAGTACTTCAAAATATTGCATTCGTACCAAAATAATAATTTCACCTCAGTAGTACTGTAACTGATTTTACGAGTTGGCTGACAGAGCAAACTCACCCGCAAAGTAAACAGCCAAGTTACAATGAAAGTGTAAGAACAGTCTGTTCATAAATAGAGAGTGCAGCATCGTACAGAACAAGATTAATAAAAAACAACTACTATACATAAATACATAATTCTTCATCAATGAAAAAATCATAAATTATTCTCTTCCATAAGTATGTAGTTACAGTATACTGTAATTATTATCATTTTGTGCATATCTATTATTAATAACATAAATTAATGCTACTGCACTACTAAATGATGCTGCAGTTTATTAAAAAGGCTGATTTACAAAAAAAGTTAAGTTTTAACATAGTCTCTAGCCAGTCAATGGACGCAGGTCAACTCTGACTCGTTCATTTATGCTACCCATGCTGATGCTTGGAAAAAAGCCACCTTTTGGCAGTGCAATTTCTCTTCGGCCAATCATCTGTCCATTTCGTGTAAAGAACACCTGCAAAATATTTAAAGATAAGCCATTTCAACATAACATAGTAATTAAATGTTTTGTATAAAATCTTTATTAAGCATTTTAAGTCCACTTCAAGATAATTTTTTATACAAATTAATAACTAGTGCCCTAGGTAGTAGGTTGGTAGGCAGCAACAGCCCAGGGAGGTACTACTGTCCTGCCAGTGAGTGTAAAACAGAAACCTGTAATTGTTTTACATGATGGTAGGATTGCTGGTGTCTTTCCTCTTTCTCGTAAACATGCAAGATTTCAATTATGTGTTGCTGCTTCTACTTACACTTAGGTCACACTACACATACATGTACAAGCATATATATACACATCTCTTTGGGTTTTCTTCTATTTTGTTACTAGTTCTTGTTCTTGTTTATTTCCACTTATCTCCATGGGGAAGAGGAACAGAATTCTTCCTCTATAAGCTATGTGTGTCGTAAGAGGCGACTAAAATGCCGGGAGGAAGGAGATAGTAACCCTTTCTCTTGTATACATTACTCAAATTAAAAAAGAGAAACTTTTATTTTCTTTTTGGGCCACCCTGATTCAGTGGGATACAGCTGGTTTGTTGAAAGAATTGGTGTAACTTGATCATGTACTGGCCTCATTGACCTCACCTGTCTTGTTCTACAACTTTTTGGTGAAGTCCCCTATCTTTATGTCTTCTCTATACCAGTTAAGAAAGTTAAATATAGGGTTCATACTTTAGTAAGGCAGTATGTACCAAAGACACTGAAAAGATTAGGATATGATGCAATGTGGAAAGGAAGGTGCTCGTTTTATACAGGAAGGCATATTGAGAAGGGCCTCCAGCTTCCTCCTCACTGCAGCATGTACATTATTATTATTATAATCAAGGGGAAGTGCTAAACCCATAGGATTATACAGCGCTTGGGGAGGGGGATGTGGAAGGCATTCAGGCTTAATTCGGGGAACTGGAGCACAGATCCAATTCCCTAAATCAAGAGCCCCTCACCAACATCAAGGAACCTTCCCTGAGGGGTGCAGCATGTACAACCCATGCCTCACACCCATATAAGAATGTTGGTATCACTCTACTCTCATACATTCCCTTCTTTGCCTCCATGGATAATGTTCTTTGTCCCCACAGATACTTCAATGCACCACTCACCTTCTTTCCTTTGTCAATTCTATGGTTAACCTCATTCTCCATAAACCCATCCGCTGACAAGTCAACTCCCAAATATCTGAAAACATTTACTTCTTCCACACTCCCTCCCTCCAATGTGATATCCAATTTTTCTTTATCTAAATCATTTGATACCCTCATCACCTTACTCTTATCTATGTTCATTTTAAATTTTCTACCTTTACATGCCCTCCCAAACTCATCTACTAACCTTTGCAACTTTTCTTTAGAATCCCCCAAAAGCACAGTATCATCAGCAAAAAGTAACTGTGTCAATTTCCATTTGATATCTGATTCCCCATAATTTAATCCCACCCCTCTCCCCAACACCCTAGCATTTACTCCTTTTACAACCCCATCTATAAATATATTAAACAACCATGGTGACATTACACATCCCTGTCTAAGACCTACTTTAACTGGGAAGTAACCTCTCTGTCTCCTACACACCCTAACTTGAGCCTCACTATTCTCATAAAACTTTTTACAGCATTTAGTAACTTATACTATATGTATAATGACTATTGCCCTTTTAGTCTTAAGTTAGGCTTAAACTTGCCTGAAATACTCTTCATAATCACAGGCTTTCTACATGCATAGTGTCACCCAATTCTGTACAAAAAATATATCATGTAGAAATAAACTTTTGAATTTGAAAAAATCAGGGGCCAAAACATTATGGCACATCCCTGACAAAGATGCCAAATAAAATCCCACCTGTACTCTTCCTCCAATAGGATGCTGATGAGATGGTTGTAAGGAGTCTTCCTCCTCTTCCTCCTCCTCCTCTTCATCCTCCTCATCATCTTCTGAGTCAGTAGTAAGAATATGATTGTGGTGGTGTCGGTGTCGATGAAGGTAGTGGGGTGAGAGAGGTGGTGGTAGAGCAGCTTGCTGGTACTGCAGCAAGTGCTCTAACAGATCATCACATTCCAGTGGCTCTGGACTCTCTTCTTCCATGCTTCCACCTTCACTGTAGAAGATTTTTATTACTGCTTGGCTAATGTTTATAAAGCATGCATTTGAGATACTGCAAGCAGTAATGGTGAACTTTGTTAAAAGATGCATCAAAACATTTTTAAGAACAAAAAATATATTATTATTATTATTATAATAAAAAAAAAGAAGCGCTAAGCCACAAGGGCTTTACAGCGCTGCAGGGCAGGGAAGGAAGCGAGGGTATTGGGCGGCAGAAGGGGGAAGGGATGATCAGTAGGTTACAGAAAACAGCGGGGCAGGGGATAGTGCGGGGGTAGAGGGCAGCAAGAGATTGAGGTAGAAAGGGCTGAAGGTATCATCAGAGTTTGTGAAGTAAGTCAGTTGTTGTCAAAAAGTCAATGAGAGAGTCCGGATGAAAGGTGGGTCTGTCAGCGAGAAGGGAAGGTAAAGAGAGCAGCGGAGCGAAGACAACATTGGAGGTATATTCTGCATGCTCATTGATAAAGTGGGCAGTCTAACAGAATGTGGCTGACAGATAATGGAACCTGACAATTCTCACAGAGAGGAGCAGGGCGCCTCTCCATGAGATATCCATGAGTAAGACGAGTATGGCCAATGCAAAGACGGGAGAGAGTAGTCTCCCAACCTCGACACTGGTGATAAGAAGACGCCCAGTAACCTATACTTGGTTTAATAGATTGAAGTTTGTTACCGAGCAGAGTAGACCAACGTTGTTGCTAACAGGTGTGAAGGTGGGTAGCTATTGCAGCAAAATAGTCCGTAAATGGAAGACCTCTATATGAAACTGGTAGGTCATGTACTGCTGACCGTGCAGCAGTGTCTGCCTGTTCATTACCCTGTACGTCAACATGACCAGGGACCCAACAAAAAACAATATCTTTATGCTTGGTAGAGATGCGGCGTAGCCAAAGTTGGATATGGAGGACTAAGGGGTGAGGTGTATAAAATTTCTGTATAGCTTGTAAAGCACTAAGGGAGTCTGAGACAACCACAAATGATGACACAGGCATAGATGCAATACGGGTAAGTGCTGAAAGAATGGCATACAATTCAGCAGTAAAAATACTAGCCGAAGATAGTAAATGCCCTCGTACGACACTGTCCGGAAACGCTGCTGTGAATCCTATGCCGCCAGAAGACTTGGAGCCCTCTGTGTACACTGAATGGCATACAATTCAGCAGTAAAAATACTAGCCGAAGATAGTAAATGCCCTCGTACGACACTGTCCGGAAACGCTGCTGTGAATCCTATGCCGCTAGAAGACTTGGAGCCATCTGTGTACACTGCAATGGCATGAGAATGAGAGTGGAAGTGGTCAAGAAAAAGAGAGCGGGAAGCTACCGTAGACAGTTGCGCTTTCGAGCAAGGGGGGTAGGGAAAAGTGAGATGCTACATGAACATAGAAAGGTGGTAATTGAAGAGAAGACAAGAGCGAATGTAGGCAAAGAGAGAAGGGATGGAGCAAACAGGGGCGGCGAACAAATAAAGAATGTCTACTAATATTGGTGACCATTCTATAAATGGAAAGACTGCGGAGATCATGAGAGCGTACATAGTAGTGAAGGCAATGGGCATCACGGCGATCGGATAAGGATGGAACGTTCGCTTCTGCATAGAGGCTCTCAACAGGGAAAGTGCGAAAAGCACCAAGGCATAAATGTAATCCTTGGTGATGAATGGGGTTAAGGCTAGAGAGGATAGCAGGAGAGGCTGCTGAATAGATCTGGTCACCATAATCAAGTTTCGATAAAATGAGGGTGGAATGTAGGCGAAGGAGAGTTCGACGATCAGCTCCCCAGGAAAGATGAGCAAGGGTTTTAAGAAAGTTCAGCCGGCAGTGACAAGTTGCCTTCAGAGAGGTAATGTGAGGTTTCCAGGATAACCTACGGTCAAAGAGAAGGCCTAGAAACCTGACTCTATCATGTTCAGGGATACAGGAGCCATAGAGGTACAAAGGATGATCGGAGATGACAGAGCATCTAGTGAAAGTAATTTGGTGAGTTTTGGTACTGGAAAATTTAAACCCATGTGTGGTGGCCCAATTGGAAACACGGTCGACTGCATGCTGGAGAAACTGTAATGAGGTGACAGTCAGCACCTGCACAGGCAATAACGAAGTCATCAACATAGAGTGATGACCAAATATTGGATGGAAGACTAGAGGCCAAATCATTTATAGCAAAGAAAAAAAGTGTTGTGCTCAGAACACATCCCTGGGGGACACCTTCAGCTTGGATAAAGTCCGAGGAGAGCACATTATTAACCCGAACACGGAAATATCTGTCAGTTTAAAAGTTCTTAAGGAAGGATGGTAGATTGCCTTGGAGGCCTAAGGAGTGGGCTTGGGCCAAAATATTATACCTCCAAGTTGTGTCATATGCCTTCTCAAGGTCAAAAAATATGGCAATAACTGAGTGGTTATTCGCAAAGGCATTACAAACATATGTATCCAAGCGTAGTAAGGGGTCTATGGTAGAACGGCCCTTACGAAAGCCATATTGATGAGTGGAGAGACTGTTGTGTCTCTAAATACCACACTAAACGTCTGTTTACCAGGCGTTCCATCACTTTGCAAACTGCACTGGTAAGAGCAATGGGATGATAGTGGGAGGTTTCATGTCCTGTAGTACCCGGTTTGTGGAAAGGGAGAACAATGGCAGATTTCCACAGCTGTGGAAGAACTCCTTGTGACCAAATAAGATTGAAAAGGTGTAATAGGACTGCAAGGGCTGACTGATGTAAATGTTGTAGCATACAAATATGAATGTCATCTGGCCCAGCTGCCGATGACTGGCAAGCTGAGTGTGTTGCCTCCAGATCCTGAATTGTAAAAGGTACATTATACTGTTCTTCTCTGAGAGAAGAAAAGTCCAAGGGTGCTAACTCTCTGGCAGACTTTGAGGAAAGAAACGAGGGGCATAGATGGAGCCCCTGAGAAATACGGACCAGATGATTGCCAATTTCATTGGCAACATCTAGTGGGTTTGCTATATCAACACCGGCAACCTGCAGAACAGGAGCCGGGTCAGGAGAATATTTATCACTCAGTTTTCCTACTTTTTTCCAGACTGCACTCATAGAGGAAGCAGAGGTGATGGTGGAGACATAATCTCGTTAGCAAGTGCGTTTAGCGTCACGGATGACACGGCGAGCGGTTGCACGCTTCTGCTTAAAATCAAGAAGTCTCTCCATGGTTCTATTGTACCGGCACCTGCCCTACGCAGCGCATTTCAAACGTACTGCACGAGCACAAGCAGGAGACCACCAAGGCACGCATTTCTGAGAATGCCTGCCTGAAGTTTGGGGTATAGAATGAGAAGCTGCAGTTAAAACGGAAGACGAGAAGAGGTGTAAAAGCTCATCAATGGAGGACAAAGAAGGAACCTCACTAAAAACAGTTAGTTGTGAGTAAAGGTTCCAATTTGCCTGATCAAATTGCCAGCGTGGGTTACGAAGAGGTGGTAAATATGAAGGGGAAGTAAGAATGATTAGGAAATGATCGCTGTCATGTAAATCCGAGAGAACAGACCAGGTGAAGTCTAATGCGGCGGAGGAAGAGCAGACTGAGAGATCGATGCAAGAGAGAGTATGAGTCTGAGGATCAAAATGGGTGAGTACCTGTATTTAAAACATGGAGGGGGTGGGTAGCAAGAAAAGCCTCTAACTGAATGCCACAAGAATTACAGTGAGACCCCTCAGAGGAAATGATGGGCATTAAAATCACCAAGTAACAGAAGTGGTGGCAGTAATGACAAAACAAGAAAGGCAATATCCGGGATAGATAATGCCTGAGGAGAGAGATACAAAGAACAGAGTGTATACCACCTATGCAAGTGGATACGGGCTGCTGTGTAATGCAGCGAAGTACCAACAGCTGATGATACGGAATATCAGTGCGTAGAAGAAGGGCACTTTCATTAAAGGTCTCATCAGGAAAAGGATCTGAAGAATACAATAAATTATAGCCTGAGATGGGATAGGTAACAGCAGAGTGTAATTTTGGTTCCTGTAAGCAAACACCAACAGGGGAAAACTGGGAGAGCAACATCTGAAGCTCACCCCGATTACCCCTGAGGCCGCGTATACTCCACTGTAAATAGGCCATGATTGGCAACGATAAAGATACCTGAAGTCCGCAGGTAAGGGTACCTACGGACTAGAGGGGTTAGAAAAGTCCACATGCGGTGGCAAAGGAAAACGTTCAAGCAGCGAAGGAACAGTGCGCTGTGAAGAAAGGAGTTGCGCAGATGGAGAAGAGGAAAGAGAAGGAACAGAGGGTGGATCAGTGTCCATTGATGGTTTGGTCTCTGCAATATATTCAGAGATTGCTTCAAGTGTTTCGGAGTTCAGAGACGTCATATGGGAGACAATATTGGAGATGGAAGGAGGAGGAGTTTGAGTAAAGATCGGAACTGTAATGGACTGTATCATGGTAGGGGGGGGGCGAAAGGGTGGAGGTAACTGGAGAAGTGTGGGATGGGACAGAAGAGGCAGAAACCTGGGAGGTGGCAGAAGAGGAAGAAACTTGGGAGGGGACAGGGGAGGAAGGCACAGTACGAGGAGGAGGATGAACCTTCACACTTGTAACGGAGCCAGTGAAAGGGGAAGACCCAGGTACAGAGACCGTGAAGGTAAAATGTGGAGGTGGATGAAGGGAAGGAGGGGTTAAAGGAGATTTGTTGGACCTCTGAGAAGTAGAGGGACGATTGGGAAGAGGTGTTGTACGAGGTCTTGTCGATACCGGGGTTTGTGAGGGAGTACACGAAGAAGTGAGGATAGACTGAGGTGTTGAAGTAGGGATGTCTGAGCCCAGGACAGCAAAATAATTAGATACAGGAGTGACTATGGGAGGAGCAACCGCAGAGGAGGCTGCAGAAGATGGGACCCCAGAAGTGGGGGGACGGGGTAGTCTCCCTTGGAGGTGGAGATGAGAAACTGCCATAGCATAAGGGAGACCTTCTGCCTCTTTGAGGCAACGAATTTCCCGCTCATTTAAGTAGACCTGGCAATGGCGA